AAATCGTCCCGATAAGTCACCATTATCAAGCTATCACTGCAGTCGAGCGGCTTTGTGTTTAACAATGCTTTATTAGTTAATGTTCGGATAAAAAAAGTCAGACGAAAACCATTTGTAACGACTAACAAAATTATACATATTGTGAAATAATCCATATATCAGTGTTGTTATCAGATGGATGTGTACGGTCATATCCACAGATGAGTGAGTACTGAGTTTATACAATGGTCATGGTGCTTTGCATAGACCTCTTTTACAATAAGCTATCTTAGATGGACCGTCATTCAACATTAGCACCTGGTAATTGGGAAAGATAATTTACTATTTAATTGTGAATGTATAATACAGTACCATACGTTGTGTTGTCAATATTTTGGTATGAATAGCTTTTCATATTCCCTCGTTAGTGGAAATGTTTAGTACTCTCATAAATCAACATTCCACCTCGGTGACACGTGACAACGCGCACATTATTCAGCTAACGATCTACAAATGTTCTAGATTCAAGAAAAGGCGTCGATGTCATTGTGCAAGGGGCAATACGGAAGCCATTGGTGAATTATACAGCGAGCATTCACTCAAATTGAATGTTTAATCTTGTCTTGATAATTTTGTTTTGTCTAATTCGGCCAAGAATTTAATACATTCACCATCAAACGAGATCCGTATAATTTGGAAGTCCACTTACATCATATCAAAAATGTTCTTAATCCCGATGGATACGTTCTTGTAACAATCTTATAAATGTCAACAGAGGCTTCGTTTGTGCTTGATTGCTAATCAACCCACATACGCCAATTGAACAAATTCAATCTCGCATCGTCTGATGTGTGCGTATAATATTGGTCAATTTCACAATTCTATTACGCACCAGACAGTAATGAAGAACTGGTTAGTCATGGACCGAATAACGAGCTCAACTGTATTCTTCTGCGTCCTCGCTTTCTGAAAATGAACACAATGTTTTGCTTGCATGTTTAATAATCTATATATCGTGTCATATAACCGCCGCTATATAATACTGATCTACGTCGGCTAAGTCAGTGCTTACTAATGCTTACATGACACAAATCCCCTCTCATAAGACACATCATAAACCTTATATACAGAGTTCACTGGAAACACTAAACCAATGTTCTTTTGGTTTCTTGCACGCAGCGTGGTTCACTTTAAAATGTAAACTCAAACTTGTTCTGCAATTCCTATGGTTTGCGCCCCTGCATTATTGGCAAACATTGATATAACAATACTGTCGCATGTGTATTATGTCACAACTTCTGAGTTTCGTAATTAAGTAGAAATCATGATAACCAACATTCGCGAGATTCAATAATGTTGGATCAGGGCTGGTATTTTTCTTTGTGCTACAAAATAAAGAGAAGCTATGTAGAGAAGTGAGTAGCATATTCCTCTTTAATTGGTTGTACTCGGCAAGACCCCGACGCATGTTTATAAACTTCTGACTTTTCATATTTTTGATATTGTAGGTATTATAAACGAAACTAGCAAGTTTCAAAGAGGATTGCTGAGGGCGTAGTAATCGAATCGCGGTGAGCAGTGTGATAGTATAAATCGATCAAACAGATCA